CAATCCTCTGCATCATTTGTTGGACTATCTGTTATACAGGTACAGTTATATTTACTTCTTTTACTATTAACTTTATCATTTTTAAAATACCTTAGAGAAAGCGCTGAGGACTGAAATCAAGAAGCTCTGTAGAGAGTGACATAGAGTACAGTATGTACAAAGATCTCCCCAAGGAAGGAGTAATAATAGGCAAACACTAGTTCCTTATTTAAATCCTCTTTTGGGGCCACTGATCAAGAAAACATTGCAAAATACTGAGAATTGCCTCAGATGATGCCATGTTGAATTGATTCAGCTTTTTATATTTCATGACAACAGACTCACACAGAAAAATCTCCTTTCCCAAATGCCTAGGTAGTTATTCCCCTTGAATGAAGTTATCATATTCAGTCCTCAGTGCAGACTAGGAAAGATGGACAGGTGGCCTACAGATCTCAGACTTTCACAGTTTCATCCCTGGGTGTTGAACAGCACTTGTCTCAATTTAGTCCACTCTAACCTTCATTCTTCCAATTGTTTTCCATGCTGTTTTATGTCTTTTAAGGCCCTTCTACATGCATCTTTGAGAATGGAGGCATAATGGAAGACTGTAGAGAGATTTTGTAATTGTCTATTCTTTTTCTCAGCCTGATGATTTACTGACTGAAGCAGAGGTGGCCTGCAGAGTTGAAGTGCTGCTGCTGGTTCTACCACTGGGAGGGATGGAAACTGGAAATCTTAATGGGCTTACTTTAAAATAGCAGTGGCATTGCTTTTGGGAGGTGGCCAGAGAGCCTTAGATGGATAAAGTGCTTTGGTCAATTGCTTCAAGATTCTGGAAAATGAAAAATAACCTGTAAACCACATAGTACTTGCATGGTAGCAAGCCTTCCTTGTACAATGCATGCTACTGGAATAGAGCCTCTTTATGCCAACGGTTAATATGCAAGAAGCAAGGATTTTTAAGGGTGATTACCTTTTTAGTGGACCAACTGCATGGCTGGGATAAAATTAGACAAGCTTGCAGGGTTTCATCAGGTCTTGCATTTGAAAGCTTGTCTAACTTTATCCCAACCATGCAGTTGGTCCAATAAAAAGATATTCACCCAAAAAATCCTTGCCTCCTGCATAATTTATGGACAATCACAGCTAAAACATCACTCCAACACTACTAAAATAATGGTTCAAATAGATAACTGTGGCATACTAGGAAAGCTGCCAACTTGGATTTCAAGTCATATTGGAAATATTAAAGAAATTGCTGAGCCAGTTTTTGGGAATGCTTACTGGAGGTACTGATATCAATGTATTAACAAAATGAATAGGCATTGCTGGGACAATTGTGCATAACCTTAAGGCTATTTATTTTTTCTGTTGCAAAGATCCCCAGTTAATTCTATGGTGTACTACATGCAGTTTGTCACTTTACATTGGAAAAGTATTTAGTCTTGATAAGGAGCAAATGGACAATTGGAGCTGGAGCACAATTGCGCTTGATAGAATCAACTTTTAAAAATGTCGATGCTCTGGCAGTACGAGAGCTCAGAAGCTTCCCATGGAAGAAGAGAAGCTAAAGGTTAGGAGGAATGATATTCAATCATCTTCTTCAACGGAGAAATCAAAAACAGACAAGAACATACAGATTGTATGTTGGGATGGGCCTGAGATAGCTGAAGGCAGCTATGCTAATGGGCGCTTTGAACATATTCCAAGTTTCCTGAAGCAGAAGAAATGTTGGGAAGCGACTGAGGGAAGAAACAAATTACAAACAGAAAATCAAGGGCTTCAAAAATGAACAATACCAGGCTGTAAACAAAAAATGCCTCCGTCTTTGCCTGTGGCCTTGTCTGTGTAATCTGAAGAATAAGAATGAAAGAGGCTGTCACCAGTGGCTGAAGAAATACAAGTAAATTTCCCAGAATTGTTGTCCATAAAGTACTATGAGACCTGACTGAATGTTCAACCAAACTGATCACCGAAAATCTCAATTCAAAATCCAAACAGGTCCCCTTTATAAATGAATCCTTTATTGATTAATGGCAGATATTCCCAGTCATTAGCAGCAGTCAGGCATTTGTTGGTGGTGACTTGTACTGTTTCTGGGAGATGGTGGGGAAAATTTAATGTTTGCTTATCATTTTTGTCATTCCAGAGCTTTACTTCACCTGTATTCAGTGCCATCCTGCAGCTGTGGTTTGGAAATATATAGTACTAGATTTACATTTCACTTGATGGAGATTTTGCAGCAGGATAAAACTGCTCCAAATTGAGCTAACAGGGTAAGTCCCAAATCCTGGAGCGAGAGCTTGTTTAGAGGTTAGGTCAGGGAAGTATGGGACAGTTTAATTGGAGACCCCCCTCCCCAACGTACCCTTAGATTTAAGGCTAAGTGATTCATTTATGTTACTTCTCAACTACCTTAGCCATCATAACTAAAGAAACGTGGAGGAATGGGCCATGCTGGAACTGAAGCACAAAGTTCTTGTTTCCTGTTTACCAAAATGATCTTCATATCTGTAATGCATATAATTGAAGCCACTGTTAGTGACAAAGGATATAATACTTGGGACTGATGTATTGTGTAGTTTGATTGTAGCACTGAAATCTGAAACATAGGAGGATGAGCTGGATAGCACCAGTATAGGCTTGGCATGTTAAATTAAGACACTTTCTTTTACTCCATATTTTAAGATAGATTCTCATGGTCTGTTCCAGGGGCCAGCAACCTTTTACAAGTCATGGGCTGGAACAACCCAGCCCTGGTTTAACATGGGCCAGATGGCTTCAGTGGCATATCAGTGGCAGGGGCTTTCCTCACAGGGGCCTGGCAGCTGGGTCTGTAAGCCAGGTGTCTGTAAACTATGTCCACAAAGCAGCTGTTCCCCTGCAGCTACTAACTGCCCCAATGCTGCAGCTGGGGAGGGGGTGGGGAAATGTTGGGGGAAGTGGTGATGCAACTCCTAATTACTGTTCTTGGTCCTAGAATGGATGAAGGCAAAACCCCTGCCACTGACATGCTGCAGAAACCACCCAGCCCACGTTGGGTTGGAGCTGGGAGGGTGGGAAGAAGTGGCAGCGGCACAAGTGTAGCTGGATGCTGCCCAACACCAATACAGCCCTCCAGCCCTGCAGGCCGAATACAGTAGCTCCATGGGCTGGGCTAGATGCTGCCAGCCCCTCTGTGTTTGCATACAGTAAATTTATCACTGGGCTTCAGTTTATAGATATTCAAGAATGTCAGGTTGTAAATTTAAGGTAATAGAAGTAAAATCTGCAATGGGAAGATCCAACTCAGATGTAAGGTTTAAATATATAGATACAGACACATACCCATATACATTTGTGTATGTGTATGCATAATGTACCCCCCAATATATATAGACACACACACCCATACGTGTGTGTGCGCGCGCATAATGAACCTCCCCCCCCAATATGATCTCATACACAAATACTCCCCGAATAAGATACTCACTAGGGCTGTGCGAAGCTTCGGTCACTGATTTGATTTGGCGGGGATTCAGCCAGATTCAGCGGCCGAATCTCCGAATCAAATCAGGAGACCCTTTAATTTCTCCAAATCAAATCAAAACCCTCCAAATCTATTTGGAGAGATTCGGAAAGATTTGATGATTCGGACATAGACACAGCTCTAAATGTTTTTTCTACATACCTCAAGATACCAGGCAGCTTGTGAATGGCGAGATGCTGGGGGGGATGG